TCAATCAGTTTCTACCACCTCTCCCCGCATGATATTTGGTTAAGTTCTCTGAGAGCTTGGGCAAAAGACATTGCAACAAACACCACACAATAGTCCTTGACTGAGGCCAAATCACTAACAAGGGGAAGAAATTTGACTGTAAGGATAGGCTCTGTAACCTAATCCCATTGTGATCAACCTCACTGAGGCTTGTTTCCTCACTTGTCAAATATAGATGTTAATACCATCCCCTTACATCTCAGAGTTGACCATTTCACTTGAGTTACTAGTAGTGAAAACAAAATTTGAGCAATATAGTATACTCTATAAGTCACAGGGATTATTTCAAATAAAAGAAGCAGAATGGTGAGCAAACCCTAGGAGTTTGGAACCTCTGGCAAGTTCTTGGCTTATACTGAATCCTTGTATCATTCCTAAAACCAACTAAAACCATGTTTCGACTTGAAGTGGCTCTGGCTTCCCAAATGTCATTTAGATGGAGATATCACGGGAAGCCCTGGGCTGAGACCAAACTGTTCACCACCTGGAGCTGCGCTTCTAAACCCCTCCCCTTACTTCTTCCTCAATTACCAATAATCACCAAGGGCTGGGTCCAAATGGGACTTGTCCTTGAATGTAGAGGTAGGGTAACTGGCCATTGCTTTACTAGAGCCCACTACTCTTTCACAGGAATATTTGTCATACTCATCCCTGGAAGTCATACTCATCCCTGGAAAGTAAACTGGAAATTCTCAATTTATTGAAAAATAAAAACATGTGCGATGCCCCAAGAACTTAAAGCAAGCTGTAAATGCCAGAGATGTCTGATGTCTGTGATTGTCTAAGCCACAGGTTAGAGAATATATTAATATGATAGCATGGATGATAAATCTGGAACCAGGATAGTGTGAGGGGAAGCCCTTTGGAGATGGAAACAGATGAGGCATCATAATGATCAGAGTTGTATGAAGATTAAAATACTGGCTGAGACACTTCACAAAAGAGGTGACACAGACAATATCCTTTAAGGTCTTTGAGGAACATCACTAAAATAGAACTATACTTCTAAAGCATTAATATGCATTTTAACCACTCAGTATCTTGTCAAAATGTAGATTCCTTTTCAGTAGATCTGGAGTAGGGCCTAAGAATGCGCACGTTTAAGGGCCTAAGAACATGCAGCACATGTTGCTGCTGCTACTGCTGATCTGCAGACTTTGCTTTGAATTGCAAGGGGTCTCAGAACTACTGACACAGCCCAGTGGGTCTCTTCTCCAGCTGTGGTACTCTTTCATGCTCCTTTCCTCCAGCAATCAGAATAATGTCCCATAGAAAAGGCTTTGATTGTGGCTTGACATTTCATCATTATGTCCTGCACTGAAGAAAAGTGACTTCCTCAGTATTATTTTCCATCACACTAATATTTATTTTAACTGTTTGACTTAAACTTCTTATCACTTTAATGAGTTTAGAAAATATTACTAACTTCACATTCAGGATTTCTAATTGAAAGCCAGGTATGGTGGTATACACCTGTAATCCTAGCATGTGGGAGGCTGAGGCAGGAGTATTGTTATGAGTTTGAGGCCAGCCTGGACATCAAAATGAGCTCAAGGCCAGCCTGAGCTGCATAGCAAGTCCCTGTCTCAAAAAGCCAAAAAATGATTTCTGCTTGATTCCAAACATTGACGTTTGTTTCATTTTTGCATGCTTTTGCTTTCAAATTCTCATTAAAATTTTTCATATTATTTTTATTGCTTCTAGAGTGAATTAAACTTCCATTATTAGGTTTGTATGTTGTCTTAGTATATCTCTTCCAGTGTTTTGAAATTTTGGTTTACAAACTAATCTTGAGTTAAAGCGCTCTCTCTCTCTCTCTCTCTCTCTCTCTCTCTCTCTCTCTCTCTCTGTCTGCTTAGTAGTCATAGTGCCATATTGTAGATCACTTTGCTTGGCTCAGGTCAGTAGGAAGGTTATATTTCCAGAAAGGCAGTGACTGTTGCCAGAAATTCTTTCATTCTTCATTCACAAGTGGGATAAATGGTTAAGCAATGATACCTGGTTATCTGCTGGTGTGTAATAAACCACGCTATAACTTAGTGCCTTGAGACAACTCATGATCTGTGAGTTTAACCAGGATCAGCTAGGAGGTTCTTTTGTGTCACATAGTTTAGGCTAAAGTCATTTTAGTGGTTACATTAAGCTGGGAACTCACCTACCACTTGAGCACACAAGAAGACCTCTGATTCTTTAGAATCTCTCTCTGTTGTGGTTTGTGTCTGGATGTCCCCCCAAAGCCTCATGCAGTCACGTGGCAGCCTTCTAGAGTTTTTGATTGATCCATGGTCCAATGCTGGGATTATGGGTGTGAGCGCTACACCCGCCCTGGGGCAGGTAGTTTGCATACCATACAAGGGAGGGAAAGATCCTGCTCTCTGCCACTCCTCCCGTTTTGCTCTTGTTGCTTTTGCTATCTTCCACAGCCATGAACAGTTGCCCTGTGCCATGTACCACTCTGCCTTGGAGCCAGCCAAGTATGTACTGAAACCTCCACAAACTGTGAGCTAAATAAACCTTTCCTTCCTTAATTCTGGGCATCAGGTATTTTGTCTCAGCAGTGAGAAAAGTAACCAAGACACTCTCCATGTGGCTTTTCATCATTCAGCATCTTGCCTGAGCCTTATAGCATGATCGCTGGCTTTCAGTGGGAAAGGTCCAACAGGATATGACTCAGTCCATAAACACTTATTAAGTCTCTGTGGCATCTCATTTACTAATGTGCCATTGGACAAGCAAGTCACATGGCCAAAATCCAGAGTCAGTGTAAGAGAGAGTTAGACCAGGGTGCCATAATGGCAAGTGATTTTTTGAAGGCCACCAGCATAACATTCTTTCAAAACTGGCTCTTTTCTTTAGCCACACATGTAGTAGTCCTGCTAATTTCTATTATTCTAAAGAAGCTGAACCCTGGATCAGGTGTTCCTGTTGCCAGATACAGAGTCCAGTACCTATATGGCTTTGGTCCTGATCACTATTTTACATTTTGGCTCTGTTTCTGATGCATGGAAATGTTTATCTTCTCTTTTAAATTACAGCTAAAACATTTACTTTTCTTATTTATATTCAATTTATTCTCATTTTTCTATTTGAAGCAGAAGAAGGAGTGAAGAGTCTTAAAAAATATTAACTGAAAATATCATACTGGCTGGGAGTCTGGCTCAACATCAAGTTCACCTTCAGTAGGATCCTCTACTAGTTTGCTCTAACCTTCACTAAAAATGCCACCCTTTTCCTGTCTGTATCCTTTCCCCATCTCTTCCCTTGTGTAGTTACAAAGCAGTGTTCACTGGATAGCCAAGGCCTATCTCTGTACCTTGTTCACTTTGTTAATGAAATGATCTTGCTCTAAAGAGTTGCACAGACACCCTCTACTTATTCCTCTATCTAAATGCTCCAGACAGAAATACTCTTTGCTCTGAATTCCCAGTATTTTTCTGGCATTTCTCTTACAGCATTTAATACTTCCTATCTTTGATCTTAGATAATTTACATGTGGCTGATTCCATCTTGGTTCCTATGGGGCAATACGCATGGCACATTTTATCTACATTGTGTTTTGCACATTGATGGGAGGCTGTCAATACATATTTTTTGTCTTCTCAATCCAAAATTATCCAAATGATATAATTTGCATATGCATTTGCTTATGTAAATACAAAGGAAGATAAGCTCTACATTTATTTTCCATTTTTAGGTCATTTAATACTAGAAGTAGTACTGATTGCCCTCACATATTACTAAGTGTAATCAGAACACAGTGTGTTAAGTATTTTGTTCTAATTTTAGTGATTTCTAAGAAAATTCCCTAAAGTCATACTGCCAGGTCATAGCTTTAGGCAGAATACTGTAATTAGAATCATCTCCGGACTTGTCTGTCAATTCTGCAACTAAAACTTTCTTTTGACTTTTAGAAAATAACTTTAAGTGGATATTGTTCCTTAAGATTTAACTGAGTATAAATGCAGTGGTGTACCATATGAGATTGTGAGTCTTTGACAGACAGAATCATGATTTATTTACTTTTTAATGCTCGGTGCCCAGGACAGAAGCTGAAGCGTAAATGTTCATTGCCAAGGAACTATGAAAATACAAAAGTGGAAGCATTTCATTATCTCTGGAGGACTGCAGAGGGCAAGAGGAATATAAAACTTAAACCTGAGGATTTCATAGGTTTACTCAAGGTCCTAAAGGGGTGCTAGTCATGGTGGTGATGATGGTGCTCAGAAAGGAATTGGTTCTCAAAAGTGCAAGCTAGTGGGGCTGGGAACTGCAAGTGCTGGCTGTAAAGGTGAATGATCATCAGCTCACTCCTACTGATTCTTCAGCCTTCTAGCCAAGCATCAGTCATCACAGCTAGTTGAACCAGTTTGAGCGGGACTAGGTATTTCAGATCTCCCCGCCCCAGAGTGCAGGGTTGCCAGATAAAATACAGATGTGCCCTTGAATTTGAATTTTAAATAAACACCGAGTAATTGTTTAGTGACATCTCCAATATTTGGAACATACTTATATGAAATTCTAAGTTCATATTTTTATTTATTTTGATTTGCTTTGATTTTAAAAATTTGTGTATTTTTACACAAATGCTGCGTCTGGCAACCCCAAGAATTAGCACGGTTCTGCTGTGGCAAATAATCATAAATAGAACGCCACCATGACCCTGGATTTCAGTAGCCTTCTTGCCCAAGTCTCACCAATCAGAAGCAAGCAGGGTGATAACCAGCTTCCTGAAAAGAGACGCTGTAACTAGGCAACCAGAGGGCGAACCCCCCCCAACCTTCCGCAGCATCCAATAGGCATGCGCAAACGCACGCTGACGCTACCTCCCACGCTGAGGGGTGGGGACGACTGAGCGTCGCTCTTGCACGTGATCTAAGCACCACTTTTTGATTGTCTGACTCGGGGGCGCGGCGCTCGGGCGCGGACGCCCCGGATTGGTGCTTCGGAAATGCGAGGCGGGACTCTGGCTATAGCCGCGGGAGGTCCGGACACAGGCGGCCATGGGACTCGCCGGTAAGTGCGCGTCTGTTCTCTCCTTTCTGGCGCTCTCTCCTGCATGGGACGGAGCTGTGCTGTTCGCGTGGGAGCCTGGCAGGCTATAAAACAGGTGAAGCCTACTGGGCTTCAGGCCCGGAAGCCGGGTCTGAGGATCCGCAGAGTGGAGTGGGGCCAAGGGGATTGGAGAGCTGGAGCCAGTTCGGTGGCTGAGATTGGCAGGGGACTGGGATCTCGGGGACCTGGAGTCTCAGACCCCTGCCCACTTTCCGGCCGTTTTCCTCCTTCCTTTGGGCGTGGCCAGATACTGCCTGACTCTGTGGGGTCGCTGACAGCGGGGTGTCTCCTCCTTGGCTCTTGGGCTACCTCTCAAGGAGTGCAACCCGGGTAGCGCCCAAGGATTCTGTAAAAGTGCTGTCCTCTTCATCTCCAGCCTCCACTTGCACTGCCTAAGGCTCCTCAGGAGCCTCTGCTGCTAAGGACTTTGTGCGGTTCCTTGGCCACGGGCAAAAAATTGAAGATCTTCACGAGTTTGCCACTGAAGGGGCTGAGTGGGAGCCTTGGACAGATCGCTCAAAGTTGTCTGGCTTCTCATTTTTAAGGAGAGAGATTCGGTTCAAATCTAAGATTCTACGAGTGTGCTGTACAAGCTTTTAAATGATGAAGGTGTTGGGAGTGATAATCGGATGGCAGGCAGACTCTTTAATGTTGCGGATTAATGACAAAAAAATTAAGTAATTTCATTTGGCTCACTACTGTTTTCGTTATCATTCATCTTTTAAAACTGCATAGAACTGGAAGTTCAGGTTTAGGTGACAAAACACAGTAAGACACTTGTTAGTTAAACCACTTAAAAGTGCAAGTTTGAGGAATCTCAGTATTTGGTAATACTGAATATTAATTATTACATTATGTTCCACACACATTGATGGAGTATTTCTGGGAATATATTTAAGCTATAGATGAGTTTGTTGGAGAGAATTGGTAGTTCAGACTTCACACAGTTAATTTGTATTTTCTGATTTTGCAGTTGAAATTTGAAACTCAGAGCTTTAGGATGACTTCTGTTTGTATAGTTGAGTTTCTGGAGCTCTGGAAATCTTATTTGTAAAGCTAAGAAGATTTTCACCGGGTCTCCAAGACGCTCTAGCTTTAGAAGTCCTAAGAATCTATAGTAGTACTGCATCCTGAGTGAATATTTCGCACTGACCTGACTTTGGAGGACCCCAGAGATAAACATTACCCACTTTAGGTTGTAGGAAACGGCCCCACATTTAGCCCATCTCTAGTTTAGCCTTTATTTTCAGATTCCACACTGAAAGGGGACAGTCATGGAGGAAACACTATGTAATAGAAAGAATGGTTAAGAAGACAAGTGATGGGAGCAGTTTGATTATCATCATCTTTGAATAAGAAGGGAGAAAATTTGGACTGTCCATTGCATAAGCTCCAGGTGCCCTTGGAAAGAGATGGTCTCAAAAAGACAATTCCAGCTCCAGTTATATTTTAGTGTAAACACAAAGCTAATACTAGAAGAACTTTATGAGATTAATTGCATCAGTGGCTAAGCTGTAGAGCAGAGATCAGCAAACTTTCAGTGAAGAGCCAGATGGTAAATATTTTAGACTCTGTTGGTCATATGGTCCCTGTCGCAGCCACTCTGCCATTATAGCCCAAAAGTAGCCATTCACATAAATGAATGGGCAGGCCTGTGTTGCTGTAAAACTTTATTTACAAAAATAAGGAGTGGACCATTGTAAGTAGATTCAAATCCTGGTCTGTTTTATTTATACTGTTCTGTAAAACCTCCCTGAGACTTAGTGGTGTGAAACAGCAACCATTTTACTATTTTTCATGATGTTGCAATCTACTGGGATTAGCTAGTGATGCTTCTGCTATTCTTGCCAGTGGTCGCCAGGGAGGCTGCTTTTAGGGAGTAGCAATTTGGCTAGAAACTGGACCCCGAAAACAGGGCAGTGGCTGGGGTCTGGTTTTCTCCATGTAGTCTGAGAGCTTTTCCCTTTTCACATTGCCTCCCTGATGCCTTTCCAGCATAGTACCGTAGCTGGACTTAAGTGATTGCTTAGAGTAGCCGGGAGTACTTAAGTGGAAGCCACTAGGCCTTCTTGAGGCCAAGGATACACATTTGCACATCACTTTTTCCTGCATCCTATGTGTTAAACTAGATCCAAATGCAAGCAGCAGGAACGATCAGCGGTGAAACAGTTGTACTACCTCTAAAAAGCTGAGTGATGAGGGACAAATTTCTTAACCTCCTTAAGCTTTACTTTCCGTTTACAATATGGACTTCATTGTAGGGTTTCAGTGATGTTACAGTAAAATGTAGAAAACATTTTAGCACGTAGTGCCTGATATAGAGTTAATAAGTAGAAGCTGGTGAAGTGATACAGTAGAACGGAAATAAGCATATGTGTATGTGTGCATTTATATTTAATAACGAACTCTCTAGCATGGCACACCATTATATAGTGTGGTATAACAGGCACAATTTTGAGTAGCAGTATTTTTACAGCGAAATTAAGACATTGCAGAGTCTAGTTGCATGGTATAGTAAATGCTAAGCGTGTAAGTGTCAAATGAGTAAATTCATTATGTGCTTTTTTATTTCTAGGGGAAAAGCTGATAAATGTACTTTAACATTAAAAGTACTGCTAATGGGGTTTGGAATATGGAATGCCTGTGTCTCTGAGCTGAGATCCTGTTTTCCTCTCTTTTTCAGGTAACAGAGGACACATATCTTAGCCGGGTTGCTCTAAGAACCAATGTCTGAACCACTTCAGCATGGCTTATAGAGGAGGAGGGGGGCATGTCAAGCCTCCCTCAGCTCTATGCTCCTCCGTTAACTCTGGAAAGTTTTCCACCTGTACAGCCCTTTCTCATAATATATGCATGGTATCTGACTTTTTCTACCCAAACATGGGAGGAGTGGAAAGCCACATATACCAGCTCTCTCAGTGCCTGATTCAAAGAGGGCACAAGGTCATAATTGTTACCCATGCTTACAGAGATCGAAAAGGCATCCGTTACCTCACTAATGGCCTCAAAGTCTATTACTTGCCTCTGAAAGTCATGTACAACCAATCTACAGCCACGACCCTCTTTCACAGTCTGCCATTGCTCAGGTACATATTTGTTCGGGAGAGAGTCACAATAGTCCATTCCCATAGTTCTTTTTCTTCCATGGCCCATGATGCTCTCTTCCACGCCAAGACAATGGGGCTCCATACAGTCTTCACGGACCATTCCCTCTTTGGATTTGCTGATGTCAGCTCGGTGCTCACAAACAAGCTTCTAACTGTGTCGCTCTGTGACACAAACCACATCATTTGTGTCTCTTATACTAGTAAGGAAAATACTGTACTAAGAGCAGCACTGAAGCCTGAAATAGTGTCCGTCATTCCTAATGCGGTAGATCCTACTGACTTCACTCCAGATCCATTTAGGAGACATGATAGTATAACTATTGTTGTTGTCAGCAGACTTGTTTACAGAAAAGGTAATGAAACGATAGCTGTATTTGCATTGCAGACTTTTTTCCTTATAGAAAGCTGTTGAATACTTGTATCTAATGATTGTTTGGCTTTTTATTTTGTTTTATGTTTTTATAATGACTTCTTCATTAACTGTAGCAAAGAATCTGATCTTGGTTTATACATCCAAGAAGAGAAGTTTTTAGTGATGAATGCTACCTCCAACCTTGGATGTTTTAATAGTTACAGAAAAATAAAAATAACCTGATGCTGTTTAGTTGGTAGGATCTTTTAAAAAATTAAATCAGCCCCCCACATATGATAAGAAATAAAGGACAAGAGCTTATCACGTGGCCTTTTCTTTGTGATTACTGAAGTAACGTCTTTGCAGATGTTTTAAAAGCTAAGAAAAACACAAACATGAAAAGTAAAGTTAGCTGTAACTACATTATTCAGAGATGACCCAAAGGAAGGCTTCGATTTATAGCTTCCTGTCTGTTATGCATGGGTATATATGCTTAAAATCAGTGGGCTTATTCTGCATACTACTGTTTCGTAGTTGCTTGTTTCATTTAATCATATATATGATGTTAATAACATTGGCAGGTAAGTGATTAATTGAGGAGGATTAAATGGGCCATGGTCAGAGGCTGGCTGTATCCCACTGTGTGATCGAGGATGAGTTACTTAACATCTCTATCTCAGTTTTTTCATTGGTTTAATTCAAGTGACAGTGGGAACTTTGTGAAAGTTCAGTGATGTACTTAGCCTAGGTTGTGCTCGATAAGTGCTCGCTGTTAGCAAGAAGGATTGTTTATAGTACCTTTGCAACAGTAATGGATACTACTGTAGAATTTATGGAGGCTTGTTTATCAGCACTCTGAACAGTGGTTAGGTTATTAGAAACATTAGTCTTCTCGGTGCTGTTTGAAAATCTGTTTAGTAATCAAGTGTCACTTAAAGTTGGGCCTCATGAAAAATAATACGTAGTCTCAAATATTTGAACTTGACTCAAAACGTTATTAATACACTGAATTGCCAGTGCTTGGTCATGGAGCTGCAGACTTTGAGTACTGGTTCACTGATTTCACCTGTGTCATCTTGTGCAGTCACCTTCACAAAGCATAATAATCTACTGTTGCCACCTGGGTTGTTTTTTTTTTTTGAAGTGGGGTGAAAACCTAAAGGTACATTAAGCAATATGCTTCTGGGTTTTTCATTTGCTTTCAGTTTTACACAGTAGTTTGGTCATCCCTCATCTGATAAGAATGTTTTTCTGTGACTGTGCTTTATTAGATTTTTCAAACTACTCAGCTCAGTTTTCATAGAAACTTAAGGTTGTCAGTTTATGTGGTATTTAATTACCCTGTTCAGTGGCAAATGCAGCTGAAATCACATTCGTGCACAAATGCCACAGATTCTTGGTAAGCAAGTATAGCAGTGTACTGGGGACAGCCCCAAAATCTAGATGTAGGCCTCTGTCAGTGTAGTTCACATTTGGAATAGAAAGTCTACTTAAGTGGAGGTGGTGAGAAGACTTGGACCGAGCTGCATTTTCTGGGTGAGGATCGTGATGTGTGTCTATTCTTTCATCAGGAGGATATGAATCAGCTGGCGTTCTTCTCTGTTCTACTTGGTGCATTGGTGATGTGTTTATTATAGCCTAGAAAGTGTGCCTGATTTATTTTTAATCGAATAACATACTTTTACGAGATGGGCAAGAAAGAATGTGTGTGTGTGTGTGTGTGTGTGTGTGTGTGTGTGTGTAAGTGTCATAGAGGATCAGCAAAATTAACTGCTTGTACCTATTACCTCTGCTTCACTAGTGTGGTGTTTTAATCAGCTGAGCTAATCACCAGTGGAGTGGAGGTTACAGTCTTTCCTGTTCTCAGTTCAGTGCTCAAATATTTATCGAAGCTTTTCCATATGTGAGGCCCTCTGCAAAAATAATATTCTACTAAGGAATGACCACATCCATAGCCCAAAAGTGAGTAATTATATTAATGGTCCATTCTTTATTATCAAATCAATTTCCTCTGGAGGTGTTCATTGGACCAGCTATGAGAAGCCCGTTGAGGTGGATTAATTAAGAAGATAAATCCAGATTTTCTTTGCCTGTGTTTCCTGGCTGGCTGCTCCTGAGCCGTCTTCTTTCCAGCCTGCTTTGCCCTCGGTTGGCGTTTCGCAGTGCTCCGTGTGTGCTGACACAGCCCACTTCTTGCTGTAGCGCTGACGATAACCTAACAATGTGTTCTGCAGTTGTGAAAATCTGTGCCCGACGCAGCACCTCACTTGGCCCTCCCAACAACTGTAGGCACATGTTACCTGCTTGTAACACACAAAGCAACAGTCTCAGGATATGTAACTCTCCCAGGTTACACAGTAAGTAACAGATGACAAATATGAGTCCAGCTCTTCTGGAGTTCAGGTTTCCTGTTCCCTAGCTGGGTCACTATGTCCTAGGACAGATCAGAAGGTTCAGATACTTTTAGACTGAGTGTTAAAAGCAATTCAAGCCAGGAATTTTCCTTGTCTATTTTATGTGAGGATGGCAATTAAGTCTTTGAATGTTCCATTGTGTTACAATCTTAGAGGCACCAGAATAATCTTTTGGACTGAAGGGGAAAACCTTTTATTCCTAGAATACTATTATATAGCATTAATAGTATTAATCAGTTTCTTTACTTTTATGGTGCTTGTTAGTATTAAAAGGTATAGTGCGTTTAAAGTACTAACATAGTAAGAATTCAGTACGTAGTAGCTGTTATCAGCAGTTATGATTATTGCTCCACTTTTGTTTAAAGTGGACTTTTAACCTTGTATTACAAAGGAAGGAAATGGGAAGAAGGGTGAAGGACAAAGTAAAAGGAAGAAAATGTGGGAGGCTAAATGTTAACGGTCATTAATTCACTTTCTGGTTTATTTAGAAATCCAGTGAATGGATTTGGTAATAGACTTGAAACACAGTTAGCTAAGACTTTAATGAGAAGCCTTCCTAATTAAAAAAAAACTACATGGGTATTTTCTTACATATAATATTTTGAAAATACCAACAGAGTTTGCTTAATGAATCCTACTTTGCATTAATAAAAATGACCATATATATGTATAATTTCAGCCACTGTTTTATAAGTCTGCCTATTTTGAATAAGATCAGTATAAGAAATCCAGTGTGTGAGCACACACACATTTATTTTTAATGAATAAACAGGTCTACTTGAATTATTTTATGTTTCCTTTTATTTCTAAATGTATATGAATAGTTGTCAATGAACTAAATTCCCAGGTAATGCCAACATTGCTGTGGCTTTGGGTAGTCATTAACTTGCAGACTAGTAGGGCATGATTTATTCAATTGCCTTGTATTATCTGAGGTGTTCTTTATGTAATGTAGGAAAATAATTTCTTTTGAAGAAAGGAATAAAGATGAATCCTTTTTGCTCTGTGGATTGGAATGATCTGACCGTTGCAGTCCTACTGCCTTTACCTACCTATTCTCAGGAAGTAGGGTAGAGCTGATTTGAATGGACTGTTTTTTTTTTTTTTTAACTTTATGGCAAATACTGTAGTGTTTGTTGCAAAATTCTCCATGCAAGCTGAGTTTTGAACAAAGTGGAGGCAGCATTTAGACTTTATTGCTTAACTCTTTTTTGTGGCAGGAAATGGAGTCATAGGCTGATAGAATTTTATAACTGAAAGAGACCTTGGGATTTTAGGTACATATATCTCTGCATTTGATAGATTAGTGTACTTAGCTGTGATCAAAGGGCTTGCTTGTTAAAAAAGAGGAAGGAAGAAAAGAAACTGGGGCAAGACCCAGATCTCTAGCTCCAGTAGGCTGTGTGCTATGGAGAAGAATAACTGAAACGTTAGTTAGCTAACTTCAATATTTAATACCTTTTGTAAAAGGAGACAACGTGTCCAAGTAAATCACTTAAGTAGGTTGAAACAGTTGTCCATAATTTGGTTGTGTAAAAGGTAACAATGCATGTCAGGGTCTGTATCTTCAAGAATTACAACCCTTGGGGACTGTTGGCAGTTTGTGAATGATTCCACTCCCAGGATAGGTGTGAGACAGTAAATTTGTGTATTTCAAAAATGCTATACCTAATATTTAATAAGGAAGTTCTCAGTAGTTCTGATGAATTTTGAAGTTGAAACATTAATATCTCCAACATTCAACTTTATGTTTTCAGGTACCGATTTGCTTTGTGGCATAATACCTGAACTCTGTCAGAAGTATCAAAATTTAAATTTCATAATTGGCGGAGAGGGACCAAAGAGAATTATTTTGGAAGAAGTACGGGAAAGATACCAGCTACATGACAGGTACTGATGGCTTTCATATTGTGGGTAAGAAAATATCAATTACCGATGTTTGGTTTTGACTGCGTGCCTGCCTTAGATGTGCTGCTTCTCCTCCATGTAACTGATATGCAAATGTAATGCAAGACCTGTTTTTAAAGAATTTATATAAAATGAAAAACACAATTAAAATTCACAATTTCATTTTTTCTGTTAGCCTGATATTTGACATTGGGGAATAGGTGTTGGAAACATCATAAAGCCCAAAAACAAAGCACTGTGATTGGGAATATTTACAGATTTCCATGTCATATCACTATTTTCATTAAACACATACTAGGTTTGGGGAAGATCAAATTTGTATATGTTAAAAAGTTAGAAATATGTTCATTTTATGAGTTGTATCTCAGCTTTATAGGGCTTTTTTAGCTAGGTATTTGGTTATACTAATGTTTTGAGGTGGAAAACATTAGCACTAGTAGGAATCTGCATATAAATAGCTGACTTGGCTTAGAAATTAAATGTTCGGAGCATGATTTTTCATTCCCTTTTTTCTTCCCCTCTCATTTAAAAAATCAGGGTGCGTCTTTTGGGAGCTTTAGAACACAAGGATGTTAGAGATGTCTTAGTTCAAGGACATATTTTTCTTAATACCTCCCTTACCGAAGCATTCTGCATGGCAATTGTGGAAGCAGCCAGTTGTGGTTTACAGGTAAAAAGCTTTAAGTGTTACATTGTGGGGATTTCTTTATCTGTATTTCGAAAAAATAATAGGACACATGTCATGATCATTTTTAACTTCATTTTGATGATTTTCCTGAGGTGGTTATCAGTGGATCATGTGTTCCTTTTTTCTCTTGAAGGTTGTAAGTACCAAGGTTGGTGGAATTCCTGAGGTGCTTCCAGAAAGTCTCATTGTTCTTTGTGAGCCTTCAGTAAAATCTCTGTGTGAAGGGTTGGAAAAAGCTATTTTCCAGCTGAAGTCGGGGACACTTCCAACCCCAGAAAATATCCATAACATAGTAAAGACTTTCTACACCTGGAAGAATGTTGCGCGAAGAACTGAAAAGGTACGTCACATGCTGAGAAAAAAGTTTATCTGAGCTCTTACTTGATGTTTCACGTACCATTTGGTTTCTCTTATATACAAGTTGGCCATTAATGTTTCTGGTTAAGTTTATGGACTGTCTTCCATATGGAAAGAAATGAACTAAGGATTACTTTTTGTGTATGTGCTGGGCTAAGTTTCTATTCATATCATTGCATTAACATCTGAAAATATCATTAACGATTGATTAAACTGGGCTTGGGGAAACCACAGAATTTTCTAGAATTCCTGCAAATTAAAGGCAAAAGTAGTATTGATGTTTTCTTAAGACTGTTTATAATTCTAAATTATCTAGGTCTATTAGCAAATACATGGTTTTGGTGCTTACAGTTGCTTTGTAACTGTTAATATTTGATTCTGAACTACTTCTTGAACCTTCTGTCGTGCTTTTGCTAACCAATATAATTTCTACAGAAGAAAATGATTTTGGCATCTTTGGGTTAATAGAGAATATAGTAAGTTGGAATTGAAAGTAAACATGAAAAGTGGGGAAAATGAGGACAAATGGAAAGCAGCAACAGAGCACTCCTAAAAGGACAGGTACAGAAAATAGATTGCCACCTTAGCAGGAGAGTACGTGATGAGAAGTGGCTCCCAAAGGGCCTGCACTGCTTCTCAGTTTCATCCTTTAAGTCTTTCTCATGACTGCTTATGCTTTTGCCTCTTGCCATGTATCAGACTAAACGGAAACTGCAAGGTGTCTTCCACTGAATGCAGCTCTTTACTATAAAGTGTTCTTACGTGTTTTGAATTACAAGTTTCAATATACAAGATGAATCCATATTTGAATATGAATTCACAAACCTCTTTCTCTCCAAACGTGGTCATCGATAATAACGTGTACATTGAAATAAGATACTTCTGAAATAGCAGTTTTCAGCTGAAGGGTCTAAGGCATCTGACCTTCTAGAAAAGTCTTGGAGTTTCTCTGCCTTATGAGACAGCTTCCCTTTTCCTTTGGAAGTTGGAGTCTGGCACCCGTGGAAATGTGTGTTGCAATCAGCCTAGTAGCTACTTCATGCTCTGTGTCCTCCGTCTTCCTGTCTGTTATCTCCCAGTTCCCCCTCGAGTCTATTGTGACCTCTAGGGAGCAGAGATGGAATTTGTGGTATGGCTGGCAGGAATACATGGCTAGGCAGGTTTTTTGGAGATACGCCCTGATCGCCCTACAGAACCACAGCTCTGTAAATTGTCTTTACCTTCTTCGTAGACTTCATGCAACTTCAGAGCTCTGAGCTCTGATAGGTAAGAAATTCAGGGGGAAAAGGACTATGGTGACAGTTGTTGAGGAGCTAATTCAGATTGTTTTTATAATCATATTTCATGTAGTTATCTTTAAACTAATAGTGAAGCACATATATTTTTTCTCTTATGGTCTGGTAATTTGTAGCATACAGTTAGAACAAAGCAAATTCTCATCTATAACAGATTGTCACATTCTCTTTATAGAAGTAAATTATTATTTTATTGCTTAAGATAATAAATAACTTGACCTGAAATAGAGCTGGATAAACAGATCAGTTTGTATTTGGTCTTTTAACTGTAGGGCATTTTGATCCTTTTCAATCCTTTTTAGTTTAACTGTGCTATTTAGAAAATTGATCACAAAATTAAATTGGACTTCATGCTCTAAGCACACTATTCGATTACAATCTGCCAGCCTCAACATAATCCTCAACATCATTCTGATTAAAATGCTTGTATTTAAAATGTCCTCAGGGTAGAAGAGCTAGATGAAAACATGCCGTACCTTTGAAAGGCCACTGACCTGTAGAAGTTGCACTTGTTGTAACTTCTTGAACTCAAAAGAAGACAATTTGCAGGTCCATTATGTGAGACCAAGCACAAGTAATTCCCAAGTGCAATTGCAAAACAGGAATGCTGGCTCATTTGATGTGTTCTACACAGGTATATTTAAAGATCTTTGTTTTTAATATTTTAGAGTTTAGTGCCCCTCAGTTTTAAAAAGCAAGTCACGCACTACCAGTTCTCAGCAGTAGACTCTGTTTGCCAACATTTGACCTGTACTGCTTATTAAAGTTTACCCCATCTTCCCCTCTTCTGCTTGCAATCTCTGAAGTGTTTCTCCATATCCTTACCTACCATGCACAGCAGCATGGATGGCCTTGCACAGTTGTTGAAAGAAGAGCCTGTGTGTCCCCAGAAGCCCACTTACTGTAGTGCTGTAATTGTGCTTTTTGTCTGGCAGAGACCAGTGAGAGCTTTCTCCACCCAAAGCATCTGAAAAGGCTGGTCCTGTTTGAACACCTCTCAAGTCACTGCTCAATTAAATATCACCCCTGCAGTTGTGACCTGAAAAGCTATTTGGACTTTGCAGGACTTGGGTATTCTACTACTCGGCTGAAATTGATGCTGTTCTCCTAGGGGAAAGCAACTCTAGCTTATTCTTTGTATCACAGTGTCTAGCCCGGTGTTTTGCCCAGATTATGTGCCCAATAAGCTCTCAGTCAGATGGCATTCTTTATTGTGATGAAATTCATTAAGGGCATCGTTTTTGTAACAACACCAAACACTAGTGACTTCTGTTTGCATGTGTTTTGGAAACATTCTTGGTTAGGGTGGGTCGTCGTTTATGATTGGAATGCTCTGACTCCCAGCATTCATTCTTGGCCTTCTGTCCTCCAGGTGTATGAGTTGGTCTTGAAGGAAGATGTGTTGTCCGTGGACAAGCGGCTGGATAGGCTCATCTCTCACTGCGGCTCAGTCACAGGCCACATTTTTGCTCTGTTGGCTGTGCTCAACTATCTGTTCCTTATCGTACTGAGATGGATCACTCCAGATTCTGTCATTGATGTTGCAATAGATGCCACTGGCCCAAGGGGTGCCTGGACTCATCACTGTCCTCACAGTGAAAAAAGGGGTGAGAATGAGAAGGTGTCTAAAACGAGGTAGAAGAAAGCCTGCCTTGTAATGTTTTAAACATTTCTAACACTTCTATTAAGATGATTGAAAATAACCTTGCTATTTTTGTTTTTGTTTTTTGAAGTTAATTCAGTAAGTTATGCTACCTCTATATCATTCAATGTTTTAGTTTGAGGAAAGATAAAAACTTATGCAATTCCTGAGTGTAGAAACTTCTTGCACTTCTTCTTTACAGTTTAGGAGAGAACGGTTAAGCCACTCAGGTATGAAATTTTTCAGATACTGAAATCCCTCTAGCAGAGATGTTTTAACATTACTTTTTGAGAGCTTTGGGTGCTGAAGGGCCAAATGTTTCTGGGCATTTTTTGGCCAGTTTTTAATGTTAAACCGTTATGTAGACATTCACCAAATGTTTACAAGTTTTCTTTAGGGAAGTATACCAATTATGGGAACTCCTTTAAGTCATGTTCATATATATCTATTAGGCAGTAAAGCGATGCTCTTAAACGTTTATTGGGTCCTCTCAGTAGGTGTTACATATTTTCAGCAGGTTTCTTCGGATGGTCTCTTAGCTAACCAGCATGTTTTGATCACCTGCTGTGTGTAAACTGCTGTGAAGGACCAGGGATGCATTCACTCTTTGTTTATCACTTAGACAGCTTACTATAGTCATGGTTGACGTTAAAAGGTAAAATATCTAACATGCCAAAAATGCTTATGCTAGTTAGTGCCAGGAAGAAGTTGCTGGCATATTCCAGGTCCTTCTTTGATCCTATTGTATGCATTCTCTTAGGTAGAGCCTTCATCTTCAGTTCTGTTTATGAAGAGCCCTTTTGCTTTTTTAAATTCTAGGGACCGATATCACTGTTGATGATAGTGCAGAGAAAGCCTCCACATTTTTCAGTGCATAATTTAGTCCTCTGTAAATGCCTTCTTGTTATCTGAGCAGAATGTATGAGGTGTGCCATCTCAAAACCAGCTGCTACTCTACCCTTTTGATATGTCACTACCCTCCACTGTGGCCTAGCTGATGTCTGATAAGTGTTGTCAGTGTGGAACAGGCTTTACTCCAGAATGTTTTATTTATAGCAGACCAAGTCTGAAAATTTTAGGAACACAAGTCTCTTTGTGGATAGATGTTAACTGTAATCATTGTTGCCCAGAGCCATGGGTTTTTAACCCCCGATTATCCATGTGGTGTGTATTATTCTTTGAACTCTTCAGAATAAATTTTTGTGTAAAAGGACTGTGAAATCAAAATAATGAGGCACTTGTGTGTGCACTAGATAGATTCTGTCAGTATTGTGATTCTGTACAGGATATTTTTAATGACAGCATTCACAAAACGTCTTACCTTTTAAAAAGTATCTTCTAGGGGCTGGGGATTTAGCTCAGCGTCAAAGCGCCTGCCTGGCAAGTGCAAGGTCGTGAGTTCGGTTCCCGGTACCGGAGAAAAACCAAAAAAAAAAAAAAAAAAAAAAAAAAGTATCTTCTGCCTATTACCCGATTGCCACTGATATAAAAGAAATATATTAGCATTTTGTTTATACTAAAACACAGATGCAAGAGTGCAATTTTTACAATGTAGAAGTTAGGAATTCTTCCGTTGGAGAAAAATGGACTGACCCTAACCATTCAGTCTTACTAAGATTTTCATGTGTTGAAACTGACATAGTTATGAAATAAACAGTGCCAATATTCATGATAAAGTGAGAAATATTTAATATTTGGTTTTATTCTACTCAGCAGTTTTTAATGGTACACTACTGCTTTTACTTCTTGTTTTTTTTTTAGAAATTATTTAATTCTTGAATTGTCATTTATTTAAGATGAAAATAGAATTTTAAAGTGATTAGTTTTGCATATGAAATGTGTAATTTACAAGTCAAAATTATTTTACTTTTTTTAAACGGAAATAAATTTATTTGTCTTAAGTTAAATCTTCATTTTCAGGCTTCCTGGATACTTTAATTACAACTGTCAGTGTTGTACTGGTCAGTATGTGGAAACACATTGCTCTTCCTGCTCCTTACAATTATTTGCAAGTGAACTTACAATGATGACGACTTTATTAAAAGTAATTCTTTTTATGTTATAAGCAGTTGCACATGTAACTGATTTGTTAAAACATGCTACATGTCCAAAAATAAAGAATGACATTTTGACAATTTTCTGAATTTGTCTCATTTTATGGATAGAATATTATTTACTAGTGGAACAGGGTCCCACTCATCCCCTCCTCACCTTCTTGTTTAGCGTAATACATGTGTTGCTTGGTCTGTTCCCATTAGGGCTTGTGTATGATATGTCCCTCTAGGTTAGTGTTTTGGTGGCTGGGTCCTCAGTTCAGTGCGGCAGTGTCCAGAGGTGGGGACTTTGGAAAATGATTGGATGAGATCTCTTAACTTCATTAATAGATTATCTGTTGATGGATTCATAATTTGATGATATTATTGAGAGGTTGTGGAAACAAGAGATGGGACCTCGTTGAAGGGAGTGGGTCATGGAGCTGGGACTGTATTGTCTCTGTAGACCTCTTCCCTCTGGCTCTGTGCATTCAATTTTCTGGCTGCCATGAGGTGAGCAGCTTTCCTGTATCACTCATTTCTGCCATATTTCTACCGCCTCCCAGGCCCCAAAACAATGGAGCCAGCTTATCAAGGCTGACCCCTTTGAAACTGTGTCAAAGTAAATCTTTTCCCTTTACTTTGATTTTTTTCAGATATTTTGCCACAGTAACTAAATGCTGACTGACATTCAGTATAAAAGGAAATCTCCAGATAATGAGTCACTGCCTTATTTCTAGAATGTATGCTCTTTATTACTCTATAGAATTACAAGTGCAGTTATGGCTTTCTTTTCTGATCCAAATAGGTATTGTTTTTCACTGATAATTACATTAGAAAAATGAATACATCTGTATGTTATTTTGTGTGAACTGTGTAATACCTTATTTCTTGCCAGCTGTTTTAAGAGAAACTGGAATTTTTACTTTATGAGAGCCTAGCTTTTCCCACCCTTTGTGTTAGAAGCAGTGGAAAGCAATCATCTGCATTTATATGTTCTGATTTACCTTACCACAACTTATTTCTGGCATCATCAGGGTACCATGGATATGTGTTTCTTTTGTGAAGTATTTTTTTTTTTTTTTTTTTTTTTTTTTTTTTTTT